TTATTTAACAAAAGCCAACATAAATAATCAAGTGACCGGTGGTTATTCAAATTCTAGTTTAATTCAAGATTCAATAGATGCTGAAGTTGATGCTATGGTGGTCAATGTACAAAAATTATCAAATGAACATGACTTAAATGTTGATGATGATTATTTTTGGGATTCTGATACTGGGAATAACGATGAAGATAAACGAATTAAAATAAGGAGTAATCATCAAACACTTGCTTAGTGTTATAAATATATATTGTACGTGGAAGAAAAAGTAAGCTCCATTTAATTTTACTGATATTATGTCTTTATAATAAAATTGATGGATTATTACTAAGAGTGGATCTAAGATGTATGCTTCATTCTATATGGGACGTGTCAGTCTGACGTACCTGCATTCCAGTGTCCATGTTGAGACTTGAACTCAGTACCTTTCAATTTAAAACGTGTAATCAAATGATTATATCGAGTCAATCCGAAAAGAATGCAGATATCCTAACAAAAACTGATCAAAATTTGATCTTCATTATGAACAATGGGATAATTCAAATCCTTACTATTAATAGTATGAATTTTATTAAAATAATTTGACCGATTAATTTGGTTAATTAATTCATTTTCACTTCAACAGTTAAGATCATGAGTCAACTGGAACTAGACCACCATGGAAAACCTGGAAGCAGTGGGCGGCCGTTTTTTCCTATTGTAGGGCTCCTCATTAGTGCTCATCCACGATCCTCCCTCGTGAGATTCGAACAGTTTGTCCTCTCCCACAGTAGACCGATAGACACTGAGTATCTTGAGTAGACAACTATTTATAAATACTTGTACCTTCTTGATGATGGTTGTAGTTCTCCAAGTTTCAGCTCCGTACAGTAGAACTGTCTTGACGTTCGTATTGAAGCTTCTGACTTTGATATTGGTTGATAGTCGTTTTGAGTTCCATATGTTCTTCAATCGTAGTAATGCGGTCCTTGCTTTGCCAATCCTCGCCTTTACGTCTGCATCAGATCCTCTTTGTTTATCAATGATGCTTCCCAGGTTTAAATTAATTTATGCTTCCATTGATGAAAGTAATGAATTGATAGTTGACATAAACTGATTTAAAGAATGTCATTAGAAGAAAAAATATTATGAATATTTGTAAATAATCTAAATTTAATCTTTAAGAAATAAAATTTCATTCCATGTCATTGTATATATTGTTTATTTTAATTTCAATTCTTTTGATTTTGGACTAATCTATAGAATTTATTTAACATGAAATTACAGATTTAGATCAAACTTAAATTTTGGGGATATTTATTGATTTATTTGTTGTTGTTGTTGTTGATAAGGTTCAATAGTTGGTTTAGTCTCCATGTCTAAACTTATTTCTCTATACGAAATTCATTGTATGTAGTAGCTGATAGTTATTTATTTCACAGTTAATACCATTATAACCATTGTAACTCTGAAAGTACTGAACAAATGTTTCGTTCTGTTATAAGATTCTTGAACAGTGAGCATTTAGAAAATGCCCCATATAGTAATTAATCATATGCTTTCTGGTGACTAATTTTGAGAAGTAATTTCGAAGTTCTAATGAAAAATAGAGTTCAACTATGTCCAAGTACATTGGCAGATGGTTGCGCGACATTATAAATTGATGTAAGTTAACTATATAAACCATAGGATGCCAGCTCAGTAATCGAAAGGTTAAGCATTCAGGTGTGAAAGCAAAGATCTTAAGTTTTAGTCTTAATGCTAAGATTGTCGATGGTCACCACTAAGTAGTCCCACACTGTGGAAAACATCTGTTCATTATAAAATCGAAACACTTCCACATATCTTCTAGAATGATTATAAGTATTCGTTAGCCTATAAGTTTTTTTTTCATTTTATTTATTGTTTCCATGTAATTCGTTCTTTTTAAAATTCACTTATATTTTTACTTTTTGAATTCATTAACCATTAGAATTTAGTGATCATTTGGAATGAAAAAGAAAAACTTAATCTAACAAAAGTATGATTTATAAATCTGAAATGTCTACAACTGCATATCATGATCATGAACTTATCAACTTATAGTTTCAATTGAAGAATTAGTTCTCTTTAACTCTATTTATATCTTAATGGAATGTTATCTATCCATTCAAATACATTACGTTTTCATTCAAATATTAATAAAATATGTGTATCACAATAATAATAATAATAATAATAATTATTATTATTATTATTATTATAATAAAATTATGAGGAAATATGAATATATATATACATATATAACAGATTAATATTGGTGGGATTCGATCCGAAAATGAGGTTAGTTCAATTATAATTTTTTTTAAAAATAAATAAACAATTATTGTTTATTATTAATATTATTGTTTCATTCATTCATGATTGACAACGTTTAATCACTATGATTATTGCATTTATTCAAATGGATTAATGATTGTTTATTTGTATATTTAAACTTCTTTCATCTTTTAATCATTTCATTATAATTGTGCAATAAATAGAGAGAGAAATGTCTTGGATATTTCATTCCTTAAATAATATACTTGAAGGCTTATGTTGTACATTATTATTATTATTATTATTATTATTATTATTATTATTTTATACAGAATTATGTTTTTTTATATTTACAAGTCATCTTGCTGTTATTCATTCAACTGAATAAGCTCTAATTTACAGTTGTCAACTGTAAAATTCCTCTGCATATTTTATTGTGATATTTAACATGACTATTATTATTATTATTGTTATTATTATTACTAATTGTTTACCTGACCTAATCATATCTCTTTACAATGACGTTGCTATCTCTTTGATTCTTATTGTCAATTAACTATTTATTGGTGTCTCTTTTTCTTTTCTGTTTTCTTTATGTTCTCAAAATTTTATCAAATTTTTACATTTTCAACTGGATTTCAATCATACAAGTTTCATATGTATGTACATTTGTTTGTGTGTGTGTGTGCACGCGTCTGCATTTACTTTCTTTTCTGTTCAGATTATGCTGTGAATGTCAATAAAACCATTGAAAGTGAATTCGTTTTTGAAAAGTCCTAATTCTAAATTAATGCCTTGTTACATATTAATTATTAGTATATACTTAGGATATTGACTGATTCCTTGATGAATTATTTATACAGGATAAAGTAAATGAAATATTTGTTTACTTGGGTAAAATACTACTATTTTTGTTTATTTAAAGGATTAAATTTATTCCAAAAAAGAAATCGGTAGCAAATACTCATGTCTGTTTAAATTAAAGAAAGAACTTCTCTAACAATGAATCAAGCTTTCAATAACGACCATTGAAACAAAGAATAAATTCAATTGAAATCATAAACTGATCTAAGTTAGACCAGCATTAAAAACCTGGAGGAATTAAACGTTCGTTTTATTCGAGTATGGGATTACTCAGTAGTTTACATTCACAATTCCGTACATTGGAATCGAATACAAGACCTCCAATATTGCACGTGAATTTTTAACCTCTAAACCATTAAGTCAGTGTTGATGTCTAGTTTTAATCATTCTATGACGCTTCTTGACTATCATTGATTGTCTTCAGTGGACAAATGTCTCATAATTGACACAGTTTGATTCTGCTGGTTACGGCTTCTGACTAGAACTCTGAATCCAGTCACTAGTGAGCACATGATAATTATCAGTATTTGGGTTGTTGATATTGTTGAATTTCATTGAAATCAAAAACTTGTCTAAGTTAAAACACCACTGATAACTTATAAACACTTTTGAAGCTAGATATTAACACCATTGGATACCGGTCCAGTAATGAATAAAATTAGGTAGTAACTATTTAGGTAGATTAGGATTTAAGAGCGAAATAGTTGGAGACTGAATAAAGCTCACTTTAATAAATAGGTAGATTCACATATTATCAACTATTTCATTTTTTTCAACATTCAGTGGTAGGGATACTGTTTGTTTTCTACATAAACTGAACGAGTCCAAACTGTTATCACTTACCATCTTAAGATCAAGTGGTTGGCTGAGGCCGATCATACGCTTAGTCAAGGCTTAGTCAAAATGGCAAATATATGTATACCCACGATTTGTGTACATTTTTCTCGGTTTGTCCACCAAAACTTCCTAGTCATTCTAAGTCTTCTCACTCATGTAATTAGTTGGTCAAACTTCTATGAATCATACATAGTTCTCTATGAATCGGATGACTGAGGAATGCGATGTAATTGTAAATATAGCGTTTATGTTTAAGTTCAATCCACATGAAAGTTTTATACACCTTTGTATAATTTATTCTAGTAGAATCTTGGTAGTACAAAACCTGAAACATTTTCAGTCGTCTTATTAATATTGTTGTTTAATTGTGCTGAATAAATATTTCTTTAAGAAGATCAATGCAGATACAAATGCACTAAGTGTTCAAACATGTGAAATATATTTCTTGATTTCAATTGTATTACACTAATTGTGGTTCTGACGGACAAAGGAACTTTAGTTTCCTTAATTTTAAAGACGATATTTATTGAAGAATCAGGCTGACATTAAAACGATTGGATTTTTCTTTATCCTTAAAGTTAAATTTTGAACAAAAGTAGTAATTGGTTTATATGTGATCAAAATATGTACTTAGTATATCTAGGTGCATATAGAATGTTAAGAAACAAATTATCTCTGTATGTAACCATGTTGGAACTTGAATCTAAATTAGTGATAACACGATTACTAGAGCTTATTGTTGATTGAAAGACAACTACTGAACAAACTATTGGCTTTTATATCCATTTTTTTAAAATTATGAATAATGTCGTGTGACAAGTTTGAGGAGTATAGCGGCGGACGGTGTAAAAAATTGATCATTAATGTATGGGCTGGTGTAAATAATAAATTTAAACCACAGTTGTTTTAATTTTATTCAAAGAATTATAGACGGTAAAAAACAAAACATTTAAATGACTAAAAATTACTGCAAAACTTAAATCTTTATTATCTAATAACAAAAATAACTTCATAGTAATCTTAATCAGTCATTTGAGCTCAACTTAACAGTCATTGAGAACGGCTGATATCAGTTAATATTATAAATCAACATCAAATTATACAATAGTCATTATATAAATCATCCTTATAATTATCATTTATTGACTTTTTTCAATAGATTATGAAAGTAATATGACTCAAAATTTAAATCAGTAAACTCTTATTTGTTGACTAAATGGTATAATGTTTACCCAAAGTTCTTCTATTCGATTGTATGAATATTTATACCGGGAAGTCACAAAGTTGAAATAAATCAACTATTTAATATTTTATAGTTGAATTCATGAATCAGTTGAAGCTAGACCACCATGGAAAACCTGGAAGCACTGGATGGCCGTTTCGTCCTAGTATAGAACTTCTCAACACAATTGAATACCGGCCGACTCAGTGGTCTAGAGGTTAAGCATTCACACGCTAGACTGATAGATCCTGGATTAGAATCTCGTGGGGCGAGATCGAGGAATCGCATACTACAACAAAACGGCCGTCCAGTGCTTCTAGGTTATCCATATTGATCTAGCTTCAATTGATTTATAAATTCAACTTATACAAATTACTAAAATCTCCACAAAACCCATCCAATATTATTTTTTAAAAGATTTGTAAACCATTGGGAATTTCTGACGAGAGCATTATTCAATTATGATGTATTTACATGTTTATAAATCGTCTATTGTTACATTTTTTTCTTTTTCTTTTTTTTTCTTAAAAATTACATAATATGTATTCACTTGGTATTGTTTGGCTTATATCTTCCCAATTGAGGTTTAAGACTGAAATTGATCAGTCTGTTATTGGCATATGTATTTTATTGATTTTCATTTGTCCATTTAAATCGATGATACCAACCATAATATTTATCACCAGCTAAATGATTTGTATAAATTATATTCTTTTCAGTTAAATGAAATACTTTCTTTATTATATTTAATATCATTAATTCAATATCATATTGTAACCATCTAGGTGTATAACCATCACGTGATGACCGAGCTATAGTAATTATATTTGGTTGATATGGGATTGTTAATAAAATTTGTGTAAAATGTATAGCTAATTTTAATAAATCATTTGATATTGGTAAAAATTCATCTACTAATGATTGATTAGGTAAATTATGTCCTAAACATAAATGTATTTCTGGTATATATTGATAAGTTATTAATGAATTAGTAAAACAAATACCTACATATTTTAATACATTAATTTGATTATATGTAATTGTATTATTTATAAATAATTCATTTAATTTCATTAGATATAATGTATAATTATAACAGAATATATCAGTGATTTGAAGAGTTTTATTGATTTTCTTTATTATCATCATTAATTGATTATGATCAATTATTGATTTATAATTATTTCTTAAATGTATATTCATATAAATATGTTCAAGTAACCAACGATAAATTTGATCAATATGTATTTCATTAATATAATTAATTGGACAAAATATTAATGAAATAATTGAATTCATTGTATGAATAAAATTTATATTTAAACCAGATTTTAATAAATTATGTGTAACTAAATGTACACCAAAAAAATCTTCATCAATATCAAGTATTAATGGTAAATAATCATCACGATGATGATGAGGAGGAGGTGGAGGATTTGGTTGATTTACTTGGTGATAAAATGTCATTGGTTTAGAATGATTTATTAAATTTAAATTTAATAATTTATTTAATGACCAATAATTTGAATAACGTAAAATATTTGATGCTGTTAATGAATTTAATTCAATATAATGATATAACCATGTTTTAGGACATTGATTTGATAATAATATAAAATCATTTAAAGGATTAACTTGATTACGAGTTTTACAATGATCTTCTTCTTCATCATCATTATCAATATTATTATCAGTAGTATTAATATTAAGACACATACAAATTTGTTTTGTATTATTAATTGTTGTTATACCTAAACTAGATGTATATGCATAACTTGTATTAAATGTCCAATATGGATATATAATATATACAGTTTGAATAAGATTCGTAATAATTGCACTCTAAAATTGAACAACATAAAAGAAAGTAAACTATAAAGTAACTCTTTAAAAAACTGTGATTTATTTGTTATTGAACATTTATATTCAAATTTAATTATATTTATTAGTAATATTATATGCTTAAACACTAGAATTATCAACATAGCCACACTTGATGAAGAAAATCTGGAATATGTAGAAAACTTCAAGTACTTGGGTAGCGTCATCAATGAATAAGCAGGATATAGATGCAGGATAGACAAATCAAAAACATCATTCATACAATCCAAGAAAATATCGAACTCAAAACAACTGTCAACTAATATCAAAGTCACAATCTCCAATACGATCATCAAGACAGTGAGTTCTGCTACACGGAGCTGAAATTTCGAGAACTACCACAATCATCATCAAAAAGATAAAAGTATTTATAAACAGTTGTCCACGCAAAATACTCTATATCTGTTTATCCGATATCATCAACAACAACCTGCTATGACTGATAACAAACCAGGTTCCGAATGAGGAGGAAATTAGGAAAAGATGTTGGAGGTGGATAGGACACACATTGAGGAAATCATCAAACTGAATCATGAGGCAAGCCTCAACGTGGAATCCTGAGGTGGAGTGGAAAAGAGGAAGGCCGAATAACACACTGCATCGAGAATTGGAAGTAGACATGAGAAGGATGAATAGGAAGTGGAAAGAATTGGGAAGGATTGCCCAGGAGGGGGTTGGATGGATAATGCTTGTGTGTGGCCTATGCTCCTCGACGAGGGATTACAGATGTAAGTAAGTAAGTAAAAACTAGAATATTCGTAAATTGAGTCTTTTCATCTGGGTGAACGTGATAAATAGTCATACTTTTTGTAACCTTAACTTCAGGAAATACGAAGTGCATACATAAGTCGGTAATAAGCTAAGAGACAAATCAGGATGTTTCATCACTCCATTAAGTCGATTGCTGTTGGATTGAACCACAAAAGTAGATACAGAGTATTTGATTGAAGTGAACATGATATCATAATCCTTCGTTTGTGACGTTGATTAATCTAGTCCATAATCGGTTATAATGAAGCAGATTCATTCACTCCTTGTCTTTTCTTAGATCTTGAATTTGAGTATTATATTATATTTTTTTATGTTTCAGGAGTTCATTATTTCTTTTCAAATCATATCGTCTATATTACTAATTTATTACACTTTCATGGACACTGTTAATACTCCAAATATTTTGAAATTTGTCTTGATAATTCCATCTCATTGTGGTGACCGTTGCAACTATTTCCCAGAATCTATGAATATTCCACAATGACAATCGAAAACATCAATAACTTCACCATAAAATGTATTTTAACATCAAAAGCACAGTAATACATGTATATACATTCCAAAACTGGAATTATTTGAGAAATTTATCAATTAATTGTTTAACATTGTTGAACGGGTAATAGAAAATGAAATTCATTATTAGAAAAACATATTAAGAAAAATATAGAAACAAGTATATAAAGAAATTTAGAATAAAAGGTAAATAGCAACAGTTCTATTACATGAATTGAAAACTTTTTACATAATCCATTGCAATACAACCAAATTTTGAAAAGCTAAATAAACATACTTTACATGATCTACTTAAGAAATCATTGTTTTTACAAGTTAATAAAATAAAACATTAGACTAGTTAAGAAACTGTCACTCACAAGAGAGGTATAAATCCCTCTGTTTCAAGGAATACATTTTGAAGAAAAACTCAAATACAACATTAAACCAAATATCATTCTAACCTGAGGACTTTGCAATAAGAAAAGAGCGAATCCATCGTATATTCAGTTTCAGGCTAAGTATTTCTGTCTTCAACAGCATTTACCTTCTTATATGACGTTACTACTCAGATAACATACTTCTGTGAAGATGGCTAACCATGATGAAGAGTTTAGTCATGAAAACTCCTAGATATATTAGATATTAGTAATTACAGATACGCCACGAAAAATATTTGATGTATAAGGAATTTTCACAGATTTAAATCATGAGTCAGTTGAAGCTAGACCACCATTGAAAACCTGGAAGCACTGGACGGCCGTTTCGTCCCAGTATGGGACTCCTCAGCAGTGCGCATCCATGATCCCGCACCACGCGGGGCTCGAACCCAGAACCTACTGGCTTCGCGCGCGAGCACTTAACCATTAGACCACTGAGCCGGCATCCAACGGTGTTAATGTCTAACTTCAACCAATCCAAGAAGTCGCGCCACCGTACACCATTGTCTTCAGTGAGCTGATATCTCACAACAGACCTGGTTGAACTCCACTGGTAACGGCTTCCCACTAGAACTCCAGGAGTATCTCTTGAAGTCAGTCACTAGTGAGCAGATGATTATTATCAGAAGGGGTTTGTGGAGATTTTAGAAATTTTCACAGATTTAAATCATGAGTCAGTTGAAGCTAGACCACCATTGAAAACCTGGAAGCACTGGACTAATTATAAAAAGATTTGTCTTGTTGAGATGAACCTAGCGACCAGTAACCAAAAACTTCATTATGAGGCATCTAAACCTCTTAAATACAGAAAAAGTATTTTATTCATTAGTCTAATTATGATTGTCCATCTCTGTAATCGATTGGGCAAGCACATACCTGTATTTATGCACCATTTCAATATCAAACGGTAGATGAGATATTTGAAAAAAGACAGGTTATTCGAGGAAGTCGATTATATTCAGGGTCACAGTATAGGTCATTTGTTTGGGTTGGAAGTTCAATCATATATGATAGATGAGCATGACGACTGGGTTCGCAAATTAAATCTTCACGTTCACTTTAGTCTTTTTATTTACATAATAGACTTGATATACCACAGTAACTATATGATATAAAAGAACCGGACAGTAGAATTCGACAATATCACAAGCTGAACTATTCACGATAGAGCTTTGAGGTTTCTGCATGAATTAGAAAATGTATCACTCGTTATTAACCGCTAGATAAACAACTTATTAATAGGATAACATTATATATCGATTAAAGCACTTTAGACTAATGCAAACAAGTCATTTCCATTATCGGTAAATAAAAATACTGTTGAGTGAATGAGGATAAAAACTCTGTGAATGTTTGGGGTCAGTACCTTTTCAGTGTGACAATAACCATCCTTTCTTGAGTGTTCAACAAGTGTACAGTATCAAGAATTTTCAAGGATTTTTTTGTGTATTTAATGGGTAGGTGTTGTACATGGGAGTATAATTTTCACTGGAGATTTCATTCCATTAATCTAATGCTATCTGCTTGTCTTTTGTGAACACTCCGCTCTAGCGTATCCCAGTTTGACGGATGAAAAAAGCAGGTAAACTGAAAGTTAGAACTTGAAATGAAATCTTTGGTTTGCATTGTGCTCACGCATGCAGTACTCAATCAGTAAATTAACAGGAGATTTTCTGAAAATACTTGATACTATATACTTATTGAACGGATCGAGAAATAGATGAGTTGCACATTTACAAAAATGTATCCTATCTCATTTCCTATCAGTGAAGTCTTAACTTCATTTACCTTTGCACTCATTGATTAGTAATAAAAAATGAAATTCCCAAGGTTATTTTAGGAGCGACTGAAATGATACAGTGTAGAATAGTATATCTTATTAAGAAAAGTACTTTAACTATAACTACTAGCGAAAAACATTTTCTACTAACTATGAATAGATTGATACTGAAATTGAAATCTAACATAATGATGAACAAGAGACTGGTTATTCCCAATAATCAGTTTATTGTATAGAGGTTTCACAGTTGATGATTTGGGTGTCCCAGCTTTATAGGAGTACTTCAAATAAAACATTTGCAGCAACTAGCATTCTTACACGTTGACATGATTTACCCTTACTTTTGGACGGATGAATTAATTTAATCTTCCCATTCATTTAGTCATTTATATGCGACTTTGAGCATGTGTGTATAATCGTACATATGTATTTTATGGTTCCTATAGATGTTAACTTACGTTTTAATTAAATCATAACGTCTGTCTGAGTAAAAGTATGCCTGAAATAAATTGATTTAACTTAATTGGTATTTAACTTCTTATTACTGCGGTAGCTCAAACGGCATTATTCTAAGTGGAATATACCAAATCAATCGGAGAATTTATGTTCATGGCTTCTTCATCATTCTTTATTGAGTCATGTCGTGGGGTAAAGCACCAACATTAGCTGAAATGTTTACATCAAACTAGTCAGTCTTAAAATGAATGAAATATCACATTCATCGATTACTAATTCCCAACTAATTTGATGATATATAGTCCTGTATGAATTTACTCGAATTCTATTGATCATATTACGATTCACCCAGGTATCTAAGTAACTCGAAACTTGATATTTCATACAGATCTCCTACAACTAACTAATACATTAAGATTTTACTTTATTACAATTGTAATAGATTCCCACAAGGAATCTGTGTATTATTGATTTTATATCAACCATTCAGTCAATACAAAATGAAATTCAACAAAAATAATCCTTATTTCATTTATCCCAAAAAATCTAAATAAGCAAAGGGGGAAATTTGATTTATTACATTCTTGAATATATATATATATATATATATATATATATATATATATATATATATATATATATACTAGAGGTGAAGTGATATATACCATTTTTTTGTGAAATCTACAACAACAATTCTATACACCTTCTACAGTTTGTAAAGAGACTAGAAAAGACTGTTCGCAATATGATTTCTTGTTTGTTTGTTTTTTTTTAAGTAAAAAGAAAATGTGTTAAGTTTCTGTTATTCCATAACTTGTCTAAAGTGTAGGAAAATGCAAGCTCAACCTCTCTTTATTACAATTCAACACATAAACAAACACATACAAACATTCACTTCTTAAGTGAATTTCACCAATAAAGCTGATTTCTTGTTTTCTTTATCCTATTTTAGTCGATTATCGTTCTTTTTTTATACATGTAGTCGGAACTCGGTGACATTTACACATTTATTGCTTCGAAAAATGTCAATAGTGATAAATTTTTTTATATTCTTCAGTATCTATGTGTCTAGAATTTACTTCATACATCTTGAAATAAAGCGATATGTCACCTGATATTAGATCGTGATTGGCCAATAAGAAAAAACGGATATATAGGACTTTGCCTAACAATACAACACTGTCTTAAAATATCATTAATTCTAGTCTATAATCTAATGTAAGGTATTCTCAATGTGTATATAGTTGATCCAAATCCATTAGATCAAAATACTTCTCACTTAGTTCTGTCATAGAGAAGAGAAATCTTCCAGTAATCAGATCATATTTCAAAATGAAATGTATTTTTTTCTATGATGAATTATTGTCCAGACTGAAATCTTACTTAAGTGTCGTTTCTATAATAGACATCAAATTCTGATGTGAATTAATTTGTTAAGGAAGATATTTTCAAAGTAACATAAGTAAAATTGACAAACGTTATAATTTACGCCTGAAACTCTTCGTCAAGGAGCATAGGCCACACACAAGCATTATCCATCCAACCCCCTCCTGGGCAATCCTTCCCAATTCTTTCCACTTCCTATTCATCCTTCTCATGTCTACTTCCAATTCTCGATGCAGTGTGTTATTCGGTCTTCCTCTTTTCCACTCCACCTCAGGATTCCACGTTGAGGCTTGCCTCATGATTCAGTTCGATGATTTCCTCAATGTGTGTCCTATCCACTTCCAACATCTTTTCCTAATTTCCTCCTCATTCGGAACCTGATTTGTTATCAGTCATAACAAGTTGTTGTTGATGGTATCGGATAAACAGATATAGAGTATTTTGCGTGGGCAATTGTTTATAAATGCTTTAACCTTATTGATGATGATTGTGGTAGTTCTCAAAATTTCAGCTCCATATAGCAGAACTCACTGTCTTGATGATCGTATTGGAGAGTGTGACTTTGATATTAGTTGACAGTTGTTTTGAGTTCGATATTTTCTTGGATTGCATGAATGAATTTTTTTATTTGCCAAACCTTGCCTTTACGTGTGTATCAGATCGTCCTTGTTCATTGATGATGTTTCCCAAATACGTGAAAGATTCCACCTCTTCTAGAATTTGTCCATCAAGTATGATTGGGTTGGTGTTCTCCGTGTTGTATTTGAAGATCTTTCTTCTTCCATCGTGTATGTTGAGATCTATTGATGCAGAGGCTTCTGCTGCACTGTTCGTCTTTACCTGCATTTGTTGGTATTTAATTAGATAGAAGACCCAGATCATCTGAGAAGTGCGAATCGTTTAGTTCCGTGCAAACTGTCCACTGCTTTTCATGCTTCCCCTCGTATGTAAAGGTCATCATAATCCAGTCAACCACCAGATGAAAAAGAAAGGTTGGGAGTAAGCATCGTTATCTGACTCCAGTCCTCACTTGCAATGCGTCTGTCAGGTGTTCTCCATGCACCATTTTGCAGTGTAGTCCGTCGTATGAACTCCGTGTGATTTTGAGGATTTTCTCGGGTACACCATAGTGTCGAAGAAGGTTCCGAAATGTTCTCTTATCCACGCTGTCAAATTCTTTCTCCTAATCACGGAATTTGATGTATAATGACGAGTTCCATCCAATTAACTGTTCAACGATGATCCGTAGTGTCGAGATTTGGTCTGTGCACGACTGATCCTTACAGAATCCAGCCTGTTGATCTCATATCACGTAAGAACCAGAAGTAACAGATTGTTAGTTTATGAAATAAATACACTTATGGTATAACGTTTATTTAAACGTTATACCGTTAGTGTGTTTATTTCATTCACGAACAATCTATGTTACCTCTGGTTCTTGTATGATATTTATTTATCATTGAGGCATATCGAAACATGAAAGACATACTTTTGAGGGAAATGCCTCCAATGTTATTGAGCTCATTGTCGTAATGTAAAAAAACTAATATATTTGAATAAAAATAAAGTGAATTCGGAGTAGAAAATTTCCTTTTCGACTAAATCATTTACTTAAGCTATGCATTCGTATTTATACTTATATGGAAAATATATGTCTATAGAAGGATTTAGAAAATGCATCATAAATTGATTTGAGAATCTTATTATTAGACGACGTTACGCAATAATCAAGGGGTAAGAAAAGAATCTAAGGATAAAAATAATTTACGGGTCTGAATTATGAAAGATAATTGTCCAATTGACAGATATGAAGAAAAACGAGAAACGTAAAGGTCACAATAATAACAACGTAATAATAATCATGAAAAATTATTAAAGAATAATAATAACTGATCATGGTTTAAAACTACAAAACACTAATTTTTAAAAAAAACGTTACAGAGGGGAATCAGGATCAAGGAAGAATGAGAAGTTGGACGTATCGTTTTCTCACGCAGAGTTCGAGCTTGAATTGACGAATCGCCGATGCCTCAGTAGTTAGTAAGTTTTTGATTCGACATCCCTTTGATCCCGTCCCTTTTAAAAGAAGACTCCTTCGGAGCTATGTGTTCAGAGTTGATTAGATGCTGCTGTATTGAACTGGTAATTTTTTGCATTCTCCTTTTAAAAGCCATTCCGGGTAGTGTTCTGAGATGCGCTTGGAAAAAGATCATCTTATGTGGCCAATTTAACCTGCTCCACATGAAAAAGTAAACTTATAGATGCACATTGATGTGTCCCAAAGTGGAAGTTTTTCCTTAACATATCTATAGATGGTAAGCCGGTTTGAGAAAACAATTCGGAGCTTAACTGAGTAGAAAGTTTTATTCAACAACCATACCTCCTTTATATTGGTTATTCATAAAAAGAGTTTTCTTTTTTACCCTCTCTAACTCTGGTGAATATCGATTTTACGTCGAATGTCAACGCTCTCATGGCTACTGACATTCATCAGAAGTGTATATAGTGAGTGACAACTCAGGTGGGGAAACCAAAATTATGGTAAAATTTATACACTAAATACATCGTTTGAAAATCTTCTTTACGTTTCATTACCATGTATATAAAATGCATATTCAAATAATGACAATTTACAAGTTTTAAAATAATGAACATTGAACTAAATAAAACAAAACTATTAGATTGAGATCATGAACTGATTGATGGTAAACCACCATTGAAAACCTGGAAGCATTGGATGGCCGTTTCGCCCTATTAAGGGACTACTCAACAGTGCGCACTCACTACCCCACTCACGGGATCCAAACCCAGGGCTTTCAGTCTCGCGCTCAAACGCTTAACCTACTGAACCACTGAGCTTGCATCCAATGGTGTTAATGTCTAGCCTCAACATCAATCGGTTCATGATCTTAATCAAAAACTTAACAGTCTCTACAACCACTAAACTGATAAAACTATTAGAATCTGATCAATAGAACAAGATCTCATTGTAAAAATTGATTTTTGTTACAATTTCACTGTTTAATTCATGATATTATTGAAAAAATACTAGACAATATTGAACTGTAAAAGTGTCCATTAACAACGTTACCTTCAAAACACATTCAGTAATTTGTGGGTATTGTGTCTATTTCTTAGATCCTTTCATGTTGAAATTCATCTTTAAAAATATATCATATATGTAGAATCAGTAGATGTACAATAGAGTTCATGTTACTGTTCATGAACGCGTCAAAGTATATTATAATTGAAATCTTTCAGATATAATATATTGCTGTCATATACATCTTGTACTTTTCTAGTTTAATAAAATTAATACCTTTCTTGTACATACCTGAATAAATTCATCATTGGTTTGCATTAATGTTTTCATTTCATTAGTTGAATGAGGAATATGACCAATTGGAAATTCATCTACTAATTCTGGATAATCCATATCACTATGGGCATCAATATGAAGCTAAAACAATAACAATAACAACAACAACACAATCCTTAAGATTGTTTCATTTGTAATAGTTAATAAAATGAGCATATACATTTCTGACAGAAATCATACACCTATTAAAAGTGAATGAGAACACAAGTGGGGACAATCGAAAATATATTTAAACATAAACTACAAAACATCTTAGTAGAATCTTAAAAAAAACTTATACAATAAATACTTCATTTACTAAATGTCAGTCAATTGTCTCAGACTTCATTGTTATTTTGTTTTCATACAAATCATTATTTGTTCTCATTCTCTTTTATTGAATCTTATTAACTTTCTACTGTCAGGCATTTCATTTTCGACTGATGATACATACTACTTATATCTGTCGATATCAGTAGCATACATCATAGTAATTTTGAACAAATACTTTATATTATTCAGGTTAGAGTTTTATGTAGTTTATCTCCCAAAATTACCTTAATTAGACAATGTCCAGTAATTCACTAATCTACTACAGATTTGTTAGATAAGCTTTGAATCACAATTTTTCTTTAATGTGACGAATGTTTAAATCAAGGAAACTGAGCAGGGATTCTTGTTCATTTTGGACATGTCACTATACAAATATGACTGGGATATCTGTTGAGGTTCTACCAAGAAAGTTATACGTTGAAATTTTGGCTTAATTAGCTACACAATAAAATTAGAGATGTATAAGCAGGGAAAAAACTATCGACCATATTGTTGATTAATAGAGACAGTGATATTGGAGTTTGATGGTATAATGCTATAAAATATTTAGTTTTGCACTTTTAAATAAATAGTGAAAAAAAGTTACACAACACATTTACATATATCAAAGAAAATAAGCATCAAAGATTAAATGCCATTTTACGCAAGTTCTTTGTATTGTGGGAGAGAACAAACCAGAACAAACCACCAACAGTGGAAGAAATCAGGAAGAAGTGATAGAAGTGGATAGGACACATATTGAGGAAAGCACCGAATTGCATCATAAGGCAATTCCTCACATGGAATCCTCAAGGCCAAAGGAGAAGAGAAAAACTAAAGAACACATTACTCTGAGAGGTGGAGAAAGATATGAGAAGAATGAACAAGAATTGGATAGAACTAGAAAGGAAGGCTCAAGACAGATTGGGTTGTAGAATGCTGGTTGGCAGCTTATGCTCCACTGCGAGTAAAAGGCGTTAATAAGAACGTTTTCTTCTTCTCAACAAATGTCAGGAAATAAAAGGTGTATATCCTAAACTGTATTCTGAGAATCATTGTTGAGTTCATTATATCATAGTCATTTTTCATTATCTTTCATTCGTATACGAGGAAATGACCCTATTTCATGCCATTATCTTTACCATTATGTATGTTAAATGTTTAAAAAAATGTTTTAACAACTCCAAAGCTTTCATTTCACTGATTTAATCATAAGCGAATCGTTATAAATATGAACAAATCAAGTGGATTTCCAGAGTAATTAATAACAACAAATGAATATATTCCAACTAATTCTGTACATCACGATATATGTAACGATCATTAGACTACAGTAATACAGTAACTGACAGACATCTTTAGTAAATTGGTTATTTATCCATTTACGGTATTATAAATTGATGGTATTAAAATTTTTAAAAACCGGGTGTGTTGTGAGATAGTAACTCACTGAAGACAATGGTGGATGGCCGCGCAATTTCGTACATTGGTTAAAGTTAAACATTAGCAACGTTGGATGCTGGCCGGCTTAGTGGTCTAGAGATTGGATGATCGTATGCAAGACCTAGGATTCTAGGTTCAAATCTCGCAGGCAGGATCATGGATGCACACTGCTGAGAAGACCCATGGTAGGACGAAACGTCCATCCAGTGCTTCCAGGTTCCCCATGATGGTCTAGCTTTAATTGACTCATGAAATCAACTATAAAAGTATGTATTTAAAGTCTTGTAAATATACCAAGAGATTTATAATCAATCTATTATTTTTTATATGCTGAAAATTAACTCTAAAATGCAAGTACATTCAGCTGACGAGTCCCAAATAGGACGAAACACTCATCCTGACTTCCACACTACTAGCTAATATCCATTTTTGCTCATTATGTTATTTAGTATTTTTTAAGTAATTCATAGTTACATAATTGATCAAGGGTTACATTTATCAGCTTTTTATTCTACATACAAACGAAATCTATTGTTTTGTTTGACGGAATACATGTAAGTATTAAATAGTCTTAAACCCCGCGGGGCGGGGTCGTGAATATGAACTTCTGATGAGTCCAACAGTAGGATGAAACAGCCGTCCAGTGCTTCCAGGTTTTCCATGGTGGTCTAGCTTCAATTGACTCATGATCTCAACTGTTTAAATTACTACAATCTCCACAAAACTCCTTCTGATATTAAATAAATATGTCATCTTATAACAAAATCTATTGAAATTTTCATTAATTAGCCATAAATGATGCTTTTGTTTTAGAAAGTCAAATAGTTTAGTTAAATTCATGAGATCGTATATTTCAAAAATGGAGACAAATTCAAATTTCTCAACAGTGTGAATGTATAGCTTATATTCTAGACTAACCTTAGCTAATGATTTAGATAGGTTTTGTTCAATATTACATCAAAGCCTAATAAATGAAGAGGACTGTAACTGAACTAGAGATAAAACTACATAAAGTCATTTGAAGTAACCAGCTTTGTCCTTCTATCAGAAATGAATGTATTATAAGCAGAGATGGATAGTGGCTAGCAGTGGAATCCAGGACGCGCGTTTCGTCCTGTTTGGGACTCGTCAGCTGGTTGTACCTGCATCTCAGAGTTGATGTTCACTTTGGGACTCGAACCCAGTACCTTTCGCTTCAAACGCCATCGCGTTATCCACTTAGCTACTGAGTCCTGATAGCCACTTGCTTGTGCAATGGGGTGAAGTTTAATTCACTTGATATTGTTTTATTTGAATCTTCCCATTGATGTTTTAGGACTGAAGTTGATCAGTCTCTTATGGAACATCAACTCTGAGATGCAGGTACATCCAGCTGACGAGTCCCAAACAGGACGAAACGCGCGTCCTGGATTCCACTGCTAGCCACTATCCATCTCTGCTTATAATGCTTGTAAATTAAGGCAATATCGAGGCATACGCACAGTATGCACATATGTCAATAAGAGACTGATCAACTTCAGTCCTAAAACATCAATGGGAAGATTCAAATAAAACAATATCAAGAGAAATGAATGTAGTTTGAAGATATCGAACAAGAAGATTTTCAGATTTTGTAATTCAAGTTAGTCAGAAAATGAATATATTGTTGACCACATTGATATGTTTAATTAAGTTTTAATGCTGCTGTTGTATTTTTTAGTTCCATAAAGTATGAAATCATTGCAACCGAGTACATTCTTTTTTATCTAATTTACATCATGGCTTGACTTTAATTAGATAACCATTGAAAAATGGGAAATACAGAACAACATTTTCATTGTAGTATGAGATTTTTCAGGTATTGAAAGTAGGATTTTCACATCTGAAAAAGAACGTTCAACCTATGAACTAAGGATTCACTGTCAAGTGGTTTACATTTGCGATTTCAATCAGTTCACGATATTCTGCAAGCATCTTTCATTGACATTATAGAATAACTGGCTAACATGCAATATTATTGAACTTCACTAATCATAATTTCTCACTAGAATTGTTTTAACTTTTCTAAAGATTAGTCGCTAACTAGCATTTGATTATCGATATTAATGTAATTCGACTATCTACACAAACCCTTTACACTAAAGCTGATGGTCAAATAAATCGAAAGGGTTTTTTTGGTACTAACTATTGTTCTGTTAATGAATTCACAGATGGTTGAGTTTCCATGTGTAAAGTGACCAATCCCAGCTTCATACATACACTTAATATAGTAATACGATTAAAATTGAAATATCATAAATTAAGCTTTGAAAATTAGTTTGATTAATTAACAAATTACTGTGTATTAATGATCAACTCTCTCCCAGAGAGACATGATCACCTACTAGTTGAAAGCTTTTACCCACACGGTTAGTCAAACCAGTACTGTATTAGATGTCCAGTGTTAACACTGAATGAAGTTCAAGTTATATTGCCAATTTAGAGAGGTTGAGAAAAATAAATTATCAGACCTTGATTTAACTTCTAAAGGTCTATATGATAGCTCTAAGAAATGCGAGCCACCCGGAATTTACTGAAATCAATTTGATATAAAAACTAGTTTATAATTGTTACATAGAACTTCAATTCTTTCGACTTACAATAACCGAAATGCTCTCTCTTGTCAAAATATTTAAATAGAATTTTATATTACTGATAAGTAAGTAAACGTATCTAACAAACAGTTATAAATGTAATTTCAATAATTTAGATCATGAGTCAGTTGAAGCTAAACCACCATGGAAAACTTGGGAACACTGGACGGCCGATTCGTCCTATTGTTGGACTCCTCATCAGTGCACATCCACGATGCAACCTCGAGAGATTCCAACACAGGATTTATCAGTTTCGCTTGTGAACGCTTAACCACTAGACTATCGAGCTGGCCGGTATCCAACGGTCTTAATGTCTAACTTTAACCAATACTTTCTGATCCCCACTCACTTGCTTTTCTAACAGACTAAGTATACATATGGTCTTACATCTTTAATGAATGACATCATTTGAGAGGAAATTGTCATTGTTGTGTAACGTTTTTAAAATATTTACATTTGAAGAGCAGGTTACTTGCATTAGCTGTTCAACACAATTTGTTCTAGTCATTACTCTGTTTTTTTCCCCAAATTGTTCACTTTTTACTAACTGTAGTTCGTATCTGGACTAGTTTTCGTCTGATACTATTCTGAGTGTTCTCTTATTAATCTACATTAATTTCATTAGTTTTACAGTATTACACAGTGTCATGTTAGTCAACTTATCTTTTTCCTATTCAATAATGAATGAGTATGTTTTTATCGTTTTAAGGTACACTGAATAGTGACCGATAAACCCTTGTATAGACTTTCTTTAGGTTGACTAAACTTCACCAATAAAACTGGTGTTTGAATGATCCTAGATTAAGATCCACTATATTTAATGGTAAGTGGTTCTTGAACCAAATCAGTATGAAACTCTGAAACCCTGACACTTAATAATCAGTTAGTCAGTCAGTCAGCTACAACGTAGGACCAGGCAAATATGTGCATTGTTCCAATTTGCCATACCTCATTAACACAGCAATATGAACACCGAATTCATAGAAGTAGTTAATTCAGCGGTAGTAATATATAAAAGAAAGATTGCATATAAGGATATAGTACATGAAGAAAGAATTAGTTCGTAGAAAGAAAGATCTGAAGCAATTTTAATATTATAGTTTAAGGGAAGACGGGGAGTGTATTTAAAATTTTAAGGAAACTGATACATTTTGTATGACTTTAAATCCCGCCACCCACTGTCAGAGACCTTGATTCTGACCTCACTACCTCCAACGATTGTAAACTAGATATAAAGCGTTCAGACTATAACATTCAACCGGCTAACAAGTTTCGTACGGAGTGAAGTAGTGAGAAATGACATCCATATATTGCTAACCTTTTTATATTTTTCATAAGTCATTAATATGATTCATCGAAACAGCAAGTCATAAATACCTTGGGAGATTATTTTCTTTTTGTAATTTTCATACACAAAATTGGTGACACCAAAATCTGAGGCTCGTGATATCAATAATGAACGAGTCGTATTCTGCTAATCGACTGTCAAACGATGAAAGCTAGGATCTTTCTCACAAGTGACACGCAGCAACTTGTAATTATGACTCACTGACCATCTTGAGACTGCGTAAAAGCCTTCTGTCAGCCGAACACATACATAGGATTTACAACCACTACCAACAGGCTTTGTAGACATATGGATAAAGACTTTACTTCCAAACAAACCCTCATTATTGATCACTGAGTGTGACACTTCCTTTTGCATACAAATTTTATGTGAAAATCATTTGTGTTTCGATAACTGCATCGTATTATGAAATGTCAGAAAGTCACATTCTAATAGTCTCTCATGCGTTCCGCTTCCGTTAGAAATCCTACACCAACGAACATTTCTCTGAAAATCAAATCAGTCTTACCAATTGAAATAGAAATGGCTGACAACAAAGTTAACTAAGACTGACATTTCACAGGTTGAAATCATGAGTTAATTGATGCTAAACCACCATGGAAAATCTGGAGTCACTGCACGGCCGTTTCGCCCTAGTATGGGACTCCTCAGCAGTGCGCATCAACGATCTCGCACACCGCGAGATTCGACCCCAGAACTCATCAGTCTCGCGCCAGGCGCCTAACCAAATAGACTACTGAGCAGGTATCCGACGCTGTTAATGTCTAAACTCACGGGGGGGGTCGTGGATGCGCACTGCTGAGGAGTCCCATACTAAGACGAAACTGCCGTCCAGTGCTTTCAGGTTTTCCATGGTGTTCTAGCTTCAACTGACTCGTGATTTCAACCAGTGAAATGTCTAAAAATCTATACAAAACCCATTCTGATAAGACTGATATTGACAAACCAAATTCACAACTTTCATAGGTCCGGTAATCGTCATTTCATTGGCCGGCTAAAATGACGATTTTGATTAGTTGGAAAACGGTACAGCTGATTAATGAGAGATGGGGAGTTTCGAAATAAATTTCATACCCTTAAAAAACTATCGACAATTAAAAAATGTTAAACGTGTATATGTGATCAGATTGTCCGAAATGTATTGCTCTAATAATAGCATATAGTTCTCATAATCTTCATTTTCTTATTACACTATTCAAATTTTCATGATAAACAAATCTCATTCGTATAATCATAAGAACATTTCGTCGAAGAGATGTCTCAATCTCCTATTTATTCATTCCATGAAATATCCTAATGTAAAATATAGTCCTTGTATAATTAAAAAGTGAAGATGGTCTACTTGAAAATCTGGGCCACCTGTTCCTGCCATTAAGATATTTCAACAAGTTATCTGTTTTCTTGTTTGTTTTAACAGATCATTGCGTAAATTAATTGCACAACCTATTCAGGTGAGTTTGTGGAAAGTTCACAACCTTTCACTATATAAGTTAGGAAAGAGCACAATCAGACATTGTGATTGCTAATAATATACATCGAAAAGAATGTACATTATTCAGATGTTGATTCCTGGAACTGCTAACCTCTAACTGGCAATCACTCAATATTTATCGTCAGGATTGATCAAGAAATAAGAAACGGAAACATATTGAAATACTTTGTCCTGAGTATTCTATATTGTACCAAAAACATCATATTGAATAAAGCTACTAACACTACTATTACTACTACTACTACTACTACTACTACTAATAATAATAATAATAATAATAATAATAATAATAATAATCTACTCATTTGGATTCTACACAGATAATTATCACAATATTCTCTCAGAAATTAATACACACACTTACCAAAACAGCTTTCTTATTATTAAATGATTTGGCAGCATCAAACCAATAAGGAATGACTATAAATATATCAAATAAACATAATTCAAATAAGTACAAATTAGGTCGGGAAAATCAAAGATAAAATGACTGTTGAAAAACAAATTACTTTAAGATAGGTCAACTATTATCAATTCTACTTTTGATGATGATTAATTTGTTATGAAGGATATTAAGAAGTACAATTAATCAACCTTTGTTACCAAAAGCAGAAAAACAGACGGCGGCTTTCTTGAGCATCTGGGCTTCCTGTTCCTTCCACCTAGATATTTCAACAAGTGCGTTTCTGAAAAGTGTACAAATTTTCTTTGTCAGAGTTACAAAAAGCCGAATAAGAGATATTGTGGTCGCTGGCAATATGCAGCGAAAAGAATATACATTATTCAGATGTTCATTTACTGGACTGCTAACATCTAACTGGTGATCACTCAATATTTATCGTCAAAAAGTAAGAAACGGAAACTTGTCGATATACTTTGCGATGAGAATTCTATATTGTACCAAAAATATCATATTGAATAAAGCTAATAATAATAATAATAATAATAATAATAATAATAATAATAATAATAATAATAATAATAATAAGTATACTACTGTTGAGTAGCTTGTTGTAATATAACCAGTTTTTAAGATAATTGATATCTGAATAACAATGGAAAAGATGGATGCATTTTTAATTCAATTTTGATGTTCACATTGAAATTCGAACCCTTTATTTTTTACTATAAACACTCATACCTAATTGACGTTAATAATGAGTCTAAATAGATACTAACTTGTGCAAAGCACATGAATTTTATTTGTAAAGGACGAAACACCTATCTTGAATACCACTACCATCTATAATCCAATTTTATTGAGAGCTAGTAACAAATAGCAAAATTAAAACAATCTATTCAGAATACGGATATGTAAACCACTAAATCTAATCTTTTCAATTAAATAGTATTTGAAATAATTGTTTTGCATTAACTCACATGTAGTCCTCTAGATACTCAAATCTTTTCTAGAATAATGAAGCTATCAGATAATTAATACCATTTTACTATAACTTACAAGCAACAATGATGTATTTATAATTAATTGATTACTGAGTATTGGCGAATATCAAGTCGTTCTTGGTTCGAAGCCAGTTCTATCGATGCAGTCAAGTTTCATACACTAGTCAACTTAACTCGACACCACGTGGATTATGTTGAGTTGTAATCTTATGGTGTTTGATTGCAGTTGATCGATAGAATTCGATCAGCGCTGTGAAAGACTTGAATTACATGACATTGGTCATCACTCAATGATCACTGTATTGTAAATGCATCTCAGTCCTAAAGAAAGTCAATCGCTATCCACAAGCTCATTCCTAACGTTCCCGACTGTGAATCAGAGTGACATAGGACCAAATCCTCCAGTGAGCATCAGTTCTCTCGAAATTACAGATAAGCTTTTCTCCTGAGTGCCAAATAGTATGAAACCTAGGTTCGAGGTCTTCTATCGATTTCCAGCAACTATCACCCAGCATTCATACATGTTATATACATTTGAAGAAATGAATAGCCCATCAAATAGCAACAAAACATTGACTAGATAAAGTTAACAAATAAAAACACTATAAAACAAATTATATTATAATTGTATAGTATGTAATGAAAATTCCCTTTAGAGTTGTAAAACGTGATATATTTAGCATAAGACGGATTGATAATCCAGAATGATTTAATTTGACGTCAGCCAAAAAAAAGTTCTTGGCAGACAGTTCTTGAAATTTCCTGGTGCATAATATATCTGTTCGTTTCTCCTTTCATTCATCTGCATATATTTATCTTACTTACGCCTGTTAATCCCAATGGAGCATAGATCGGTTATCAGCATTCTACAACCCACTCTGTTCTGGGCCTTCCTTTCCAGTTCTATCCAATTGTTGTTCATTCTTCTCATATCTGTCTCTATTTCCCGGCTTAATGTGTTCTTTGGTCTTACTCTTCTCCTTTATTTGATCTTGAGGATTTCAAGTGAGGACTTGCCTTATGATGCAGTTGGATGCTTTCCCCAATATGTGTACTATCCACTTCTATCACTTCTTCCTGATTTCTTCCTCCGTTGGGATCTGGTTTGTTCTCTCCCACAATAAGTGGTTGCTGGTTGTATCTGGCCAACGGATTCGAAATACTTTGCGTAAACAACTGTTAATAAACACCTGTATCTTCTGGACGATGCGTTTCGTAGTTCTTCAGGTTTCCGCCCCATACAGTAGAACTGTCTTGACATTTGTATTGAAAACCCTGACCTTGGTGTTGGTTGATAGACAGTTGTTTTGAGTTCCAGATGTTCTTCAATTGTAAATATGCTGCTCTTGTTTTACCGATCCGTGCTTTCACATCCGCATCAGACCCACCATGTTCATCAATGATGCTGCCCAAATATGTAAAGGTTTTTACATCCTCCAAATCTTCTCAGTCAATTGTGATTGGATTGATGCATGCTGTGTTGTATCGTAGAATCTTGGTTTTTCCTTTGTGTATATTAAGACCTAATGCTGCCACACTGGTCATCTTCTCCTGCATTTGTTGCTGCGTGTGCGACAGAAGAGGCAGATTATCTGCGAAGTCTAGATCGTCCAGTTTCAGCCTAGCTGTCCAATATATATATATATATATATATATATATATATATATATATATATATATAGCTAACGAATTTTAAGTGGAACAAAACACAAATCCCGATTTCCACTGCTAACCATAATAATTATACTCTAAATATCTTAACTATACTTTACGTAACAAGTTAATTGAATACTTATTTACTAATTTTACCTATACAATATAAGTAAGCTGATAATAGTAACTATTTGACTGATTTCAAAAAATGAATCATTTCTTATGACAACCATTCATGATGATATAATTCTTTTACATGAAATCAAATATATAGTTAATCTACTTAAAGTATTCATCAGTAGCCTATACTCCTCAATGAGCCGTAAAAGGCTTACATTTGTAATATTCTCTAAAAAAATAAATAATCGTTTTTTTACTAAACTTAAATAACAACAATATAAATCTCACCTTCATGATGTTCTTCCACAATATAAACATGTAAATTGGTTAATTGATTAAATGTTAACAATTTTGAATTGTTTAATATATCATCATTATTCATTTGTATTGTTACCGTCCAATTATTATATACATCATATTTATATAGTAGCCATAGTAACATAAATGTGTTTAGGATACCAAAAATGATAATAATTTTATGAAATGACATGAATGAAAAAAAAATCACTGATTGAACTGAAAAGTAAAAATAAAAATGGATTTAAATTAGTGTATTTAATAAAATTATATTATTATCAGAAAGGAAGGGGGGTTGTGGAGATTGTAATAATTTTTAATAGTTGAATTCATGATTCGATTAAAGCTAGATCACCATGAAAAACTTGGAAATAGTGGATGGCCGTTTCGTCCTAGTATGGGACTTCTTAGTAGTGTGCATACACGATCCCACACGTTGGACTCAAACCAAGAACCTTCGGTCATGTGGGTGAAACCTTGGCTTCTGGATCGCTGAGCCGATCGGCATCCAACGGTTTTATTGTCTAACTACAACCAATCTACGATACTGCGTGACCGTCTACCATTGTTTTCAGTGAGTAATTGCCTCCACACTAGACACAGTTGAACTCCACTGTGTACGGCTTTTCACTAGAACTCTAAAAAATACTTCATGAAGCCAGCAATAATGAGCGCATGATGATAATTATCAGAAGAGGGTTTCTGTGAATATTGCAGTAATTCGTAGTAGTTGGATTGATGAATTGATTAAAGGTAGACAACCCCGGAAAAATTTTATTATATTACATGGCATGAATATAAGCAAAATATTCATGGATCTAGCATGAAAATGGTTGAGTTAAAGTGAGTTGTAATAAAAGAGATTTTTTGTGAAAACTTTGTTTATTTAATGGGTTTGAGTTCCAAAGTTAATATCAACTCTGAGGTTCGGGTACACCCAGCCGACGAATTCCGAATAGGACGAAACTGGCGTCATGGATTCCACTGGTTATGATAATTGTGACTTAGTGGCAGTATTGAGACAATTTGCACAGCATGCATAGTTGGGTGATTACTGAATTCTATCCGAAGTCAGCGTTTTTTAGCCTTCTAGTGTTGATTGAATTCTAGCAATCAAGCTGCAATGACGTCATTCGTCTAAGTGGTTTGATACCATGTGTGCCATATTTAGATGTTAAATGGTTGGAATCGACGTCTCATGTCATTTAGCACCTAACAGTAAAACTCACTTTCAGTTTCATCAAATAAAAAACTATGAATATCGTAGTCCAACAAGAGTTCAGTTGCAGCCTAAATAACTCACTAATAACATCTCAGAGTGTAAAGATGTATGTCTAGGGTTCGAACACCCTCCCCAGGAGTTATCATTTCTCTTGAAATTTGAGGTGTACCTTTGTAACGAACCAAGGTCAAGTACGATTTCTTATTGATTACTTCCAACCATCAAATGGTTTAAATCGTATATCCATTGTCAATGAAAACTATCTCATTCCAAACTTACTGCACTATGTAGTTCGTAGATTCCTATTAAAACATTCAGAGATCTTAAAGAGGAAGAATGTAATTGTAACTTCTCAGCGAAAGAATTTGAAGTAAATCCGAAGTTTCACCTGACGATTTGGTCCAGGCTTTTCCTCTTTACTGTTTCACATTAACTCGGCATCAAAATACTGTGAAACTATTCGATCACATCTAGACGAAAGTTCTTATTTATCATTCAGAGGTCTGCTCTTAATTTACATATTAGTCAAAGAACAATTTTGTTTAGCTCGGTGGATTGTAAAGATTTTTCATAGGGAACTGACATTAATCCATTCATAGATCATACATAACTTGATTCTATTTCTTATATTTGAGTAAGCAATGAAAGCAATCACTTTTTCACTTGAAAGTATACAGTCAATATCCATGTTAAGTCTTGCTGATTTGGACGCTATATTCGTTCCTAAGCTATTTTAATAACCCACACGCTAGAACTATACAGCGGCCTGAACATCAGAACGAAGACGCCAAGTATGGAAGAAACACTTTACTCCAAGATTCGTTTTTGTACAGAAAACCATGGGTATTTATAGATGTTAGCATTTGTTAAACCAACATCATATTTCAGCCAATCCGTTAGCGACATATTATGCTACTGACCAATAGTAGCACGCCACGTTGAAATGCTAGAATGCTCTATCGTGATGTGATTGGCTAGGACTTTTCGGCTCCTTTTGGGCCTCTGGAGGCTGCGTTGAAGTTCTCCGAAAGCCTACTCAACAATCCATATTTCGAATCTTTAAATATGAAAGTATTATTAACCAGTCACATGTACCACTGAACGATGTAATTAGGTTAATATCACATATTCTAGTTGACAGACTTAGTTTTCTTTGGTCACAGTATTTGAAAATTTATAACACTTTTATATTAGAGATCACTATAACCAATTTTAACTGATTTCTTTCCGCATATATCTTGTTAACATACCAATTGAAGTTATGACCAAACATTCAAATTTACCAATTATTAACAAGGATTATATATTTTAATAGTTGAAATCATTAGTCAGTTGACGCTAGACCATCATGGTAAACTTAGAAGCACTAGACGGGTGTTTCATCCTGTTGTAGGACTCCTCAGTGGCAGTGCATATTCACGATACACGATTGTATAATTCATAAATAATTCAAAAAATTCATGAAATACAAGATTTATTATGCATAAACAAACATCAATTGTGAATTACCTTAATATGCTAACTAGTATTTCAATCATTTTAATGTATCTAGCTTTATAAAAATTTATACTGGTGCTGAAATTCGAATTAATAGTGTGTGATAGTTTAATGGTCAGCATTTGTTTAAAATTTATAATCACAATTGATTAATCACTGGGTGGTGATCAATATCATGTGTGTCAACTTATTAATGCAGATCGAATGCTACCGACTAAGTTGCATTGTGGCCACTAGTCTAGGTGACTCAAAATTGCGTGCACTATGACGAGATAAGATGGTGGTTGGAGGTAGTCGATCTGTACTAAGAAGGACTTGACACACATAACATTAATCACCACACAGTGATCAATCAATTGTGATTACATCTCAATCCTACAGGAGGTAGGTCGCTGACCGGATAGCCCAGTGGTAACGTCTTTGATTGTGAAGATGGGTGACACGGGATCGAATCTGTCATGAAGCACCAGTTCCCTCAAGATTACAGCTACATCTTGGTGACGAGTGCCAAGTAGCACGAAACCCGCGTCCATGGTTTCCTGTTGACTACCTCTAACCACCATCTTAAAGTTAATAATCGTTAGACATCAAAGAGGAAGAATATATTTGTAAAATCTCAGCGAATAAATTTGAAGTGAATCCAACGTTACGACTGACAGTCTGGTCCAAGCGTTTTCAACGAAATAACTGGTATACCTCTCCAGTATAGTTAGGCAATGTTAACCTGAACTAACCAAACTCATTAGCTTATATGTATATGAAGAGAAAACAATGAATTACAACGAATTAAAAGTATTCAACTAATATTTTCCTTCTTGCTTTGTTTCAATAAAACAGTAGCTTGTCGAATATACTCAGTTGCTTATCAGTTAAGTAAATTTATTGTTCTCACTATATAATTTAAAAAGCCATCACTTAAGTAACACGTGAAATTATTCCTGAAAAGAGGAACCAAAACTCATGAATGCAATACTACATAACTCTCGTTATATGCTAAAGACAATATGTAAAAAAATTTTAGTATGCAAAGGCAAAAACAAACAACTTGAATATAATTAGCCGTAACACCTACTACTATTACTACTCAAAGGGAATCACAAGAAGTAGATCATGTTGCTAACTAGTATTTAGTAGTAATTGTCAGTTTTAATTTATATGTTAAGATTTGCACTCGCGATGTGGCTATTCTCTTAGCAATAACAAGTGTCTAAGAAGTCAAGGACTATTGCATTGATTAGAAAGTACTAATGTTGATCAACACTGTCATGAGGTGAATAGCACTGAAAGTTATCAAACTAGTTCCCAATTTTAAGGTTTAGTCATTAGTTTTAGTAATATCATTTGTCATATTATGCAATCACTTTGTAATATATTACATATAAATTTATTATGCAATTTATTGACAAATTACACTCAGTCAGTCAGTCAGTAACAACGTAGAACTTCGTATATACGAGTTGCCATACCACATTAGCACGCAAATACAATGGTTGATTCAAATCCCATTGTGGTAGAGTTAGTAAAAGTATAAGCAGTAATCGAAATGATTAGGCTTTCAAGATGTTATTCAAGGAGCATAATACAGTGAAATAAATTTGGAAAGAGAAAAATGGGACATAAAGAATTCAGAAGATTAGAATTTGTGAGAACACAAAGAGTGGATGCACCTGAGCCATTGCAAACGATTTTGAGCCATGTCATTCAAGGTCCTTAACCATCGGTTGCTATCATTTTGTGGGTCCCAAACAGGTAGTCTACACCTATCAACATGGCTCAGTCCATTTGTCAGTGACTTCATGGATTTGTGCTATGTTTTGGTCTAGCTGCCCCTAGCTTTCTTCTAACCTACTCCTACACCATAAATCATCGCACGTCGGGACAGATTACACTGATTATCATTATACACAACAAAGATGATTATTAAGGTGTAAAGGGTTTATCTATTAAGATAACCTTCTAAAAATTATTCTAATTTATAAACAATTAAAATGTAATAATGATTTAGATGAACTTGTTTACATTATGATTAAATGTATACAACTGAATTATATTTTATGCATTCCTAGATTAGTAAATTGTATAGAATGAATGAAACATTGAGTGAATTTAATCTAATTTCTGGATATGGAATTTATAATTTTTGACAGAAGGGGTTTTGTGGAGGTCATCTCGCAATGTTTAACTACCCGAATACTCCTTTTACTCTGAATTAAACATTGTAAAATCGTGTTTCACTTGTAGGAGATCATAGAAACGTATATTTCAGAAAACTATAGGAACTGAAAAGATAACAGCAAAGAGAATACAGCATCAGACTATTCGAAACAGACAGAATATGTATACATATTCATTCAGAATGACATACGGAAACACAATACAATATTCAACTATTCAATCAAGTGTTCAAAGCTAAATGTAACGATGTTTACTATAATACATGACTTCTCGCCAGTTAATAGTTCAAAAAAGTTCCA